AGGGCACCTATCAGCTGAGCACCTATCTGCACCCCTTTAAAGGCCTTTCCCAGAAGTGCCACCCAGCGACAGAACCATGTCACATGACCATTGTAGCTGCAGGGTGCTTGGAAATGGAAAATATATTTTTGGCCAAGTAAGTCCAGGGACATATCTTCTTTGAAGTAAGTTGGAGATCTTTCAGTAAAGAAAAGAGAGGGAGAAGGAATACGGGGTAGGCATCTAGCAGTAACTGCCAGAAATGAACAGCCCACCCAGTACAGGGCTTCATCTTGCTACATGGCACCTCTCTGAGGAGAGGTCACGGCTGGCCTCCGAGCTGCTATTCTGCAGAGGACCAACCATGGTCTTGAAACATCAGATCATTATAGATTCACATGTATTATCTTTTTAGATAACTCTTCTGGAAATAAAGATATTTTCCATTTATATAGGATTCTTTCTCCGGTTATTAAACAAGTTAGTGGGATTTTAAAATGTATTAAAATCGAATCAGATCCATCACTGTCACGAATGATGTTAGGAAATATTTGCCAGAAGCCAAACATTTGAACAGCTTTAACTATGGCATCAGAAAAACTACTATTACATTCAGGAAAGAACTGCTTGATGTGTGACATTAAAATGCAGTTCCCCAGGCAACTGAGAGGGAGATACATTCAATAACAACAGAGCTTCCATGAATTGCTAAGATCTTACAGAATTTGCAACACCTTTTATTTATTTTTCATTGACACTTAAATTAGTACTTGAAAGCATCTGCTGACTAGAAAACAAATCCTCCACAGCACTCTGGATAAACCAGGCTTCCTCCAGAAATAGCTACTACCCTAATGGTGGAAGAGATCAGAGAGACTGTGGGAGCAGTGGAAATGTGCAGGTGGGATGTACAGCTTTGTCGTCAGACCTGGCTGATGGCACTCTTTGCAGATATATGATGCTCAGTGTCCAGATAATCTTTGTCGCAGTTGACAGAGTGCTGCCCCATGAGTTTGATAATCTTTTTTGATTGGGCCATTTCACAATGCCTGGCTGAGAACTGAAAGCGTGGGCAGTTAGGGTCATGGCAGATGTTGCCTCCCTAGCAGCACGGTGGCCACAGAGGACATGTGGCAGGTGGGGGCTGTGAAAGAGAGCGGCTGAATTTCCTGCAGACTTGCATGTTCGTGCAGAGTGGTTCTTCCAGCGTTGCGTCCAGGTTTTGCTGGAGCACTATCTTCACTGGGGACCAGCAGGTTGACAATTGCATTTTTTTGCACTTTCAGAGCTGGATATATTGGATTCCTTAGATGTGTTGAACACAGATGATATAATAGAGTGGATTTACTCTCTGCAGGTCTTTCCCACAGAAGACAGATCAAATCTAAATTGCTGTGGTTTCTGAGGCTCTTCATACCTGGGTATTCCATTCAATCCATCAAAGGATCCTGGAACAGGTCATCCTTATGACAGTGGCCACACAGCCATGACCTACACTGGCCTTCATGTTTACTTCATGAGTAAATAAACTTGCTTAGCAGGCTTGAGAGCCCTTCAGCTGGAAGATGGAAGTTTTTGGGAGTACCTGAAGACAGTGAAGATGACATGCGACTTGTATACTGTGCTTCCTGTGTTTACTGTACACTCAACAATTGGTCCAGCATGGATATGAAAAAGCCATCACCTATATCAGGAGAAGTATGTCCTATGACAATGGGTTGGCACAGGCACAGGGGGCTGGACTTGAATCTCATGGAGGATCAACTTTTTGTGGCATTGCATCTCTGTGTCTCATAGGAAAAGTAGTTTTGTTTTTCAGAAAGAGAATTGAACAGAATAAAGAGGTGGTGTATAATGAGGCAGCAAAATGGTTGTCATGGAAGACCAAATAAGCCTGTAGACACCTATTATTCTTTTTGGGTGGGAGGAACTCTAAAGCTGAAAAATCTCCAATACACTAACTTTGAGAAAAATAGAAATTACATCTAATCAACTCAAGATCGACTCGTAGGCCCAGCTGGGCGTGGCTCATCGGTTGAGCATCAACCTAGGATCCAGGAGATTGGGGTTTGATTCCCAGTCAGGGCACATGCCCGGGTTGCGGGCTCAATCCCCAAGTAGGGGGCGTGCAGGAGGCAGCTGATCAATGACGGCTCTTTCATCATTGGCTTTTCCATCTCTCTCCCTCTGCCTTCCTCTCTCTGAATTCAATAAAAGATATATTTTAAAAAAAAAAAAAATATGTTCTTCCTTCTTTCTATTCACTCTCTCCCCCTTTTTAGGGCCAAATTCAAGTCCCAATTAATCCAAGGTGATTTTTCTGACCACGGCTAGCACATATTTCTTCCCTATTCATTTCTATAACTCTCATAAGTTGTATCACCTGGTTTATCATAAAATCACAGAATCATAGAACAGGGGTCATCTAGTCTAACCTGTTGAGTAGGAGAGAATTTCCTCAGATAACATCCTGCAATAGACATAATCAACCTACCTCAGATTAAAGAATTTAAGCATCAGGGAGTTTGTCANTTTAAAAAAAAAAAAAATCGCCTCATAGGAGGATTTGCCAAGTGGCTGGATAGTCATCCAGATGCTTTGCATGCATTCCCTGGGATTTGTGGCTTGTCACTAATGGGGGAAAGTGGAATTTACCAAGTTCCTACTGCCCTGAATATAAGCCCATGGATTTCTGAATGCCTTCGAGACCTCCATCAGAGCTGGAGAACCAAGGACTTGAAACAATGGGGGGCTTGGTAGCATAACTGTAGCTCAAGGTTAGAAGCTATGTATAACCAAGTGTTCTCTTTTTTTAGGAGGAAGTCTTACAATCAAATCTTGTGCTGGAAGTTATTTACCATAGCTAAGATCTGGAAATAGCCCAAGTGCCCATCAGTAGATGAGTGGATGAAAAAGCTGCGGGACATGCATACAATGAAATACTATGCGGCTGCATGGATGGACCTGGAGATTATTATGCCGAGTGAAATTAGCCAGTTAGAGGAAGACAAATATCACATGATCTCACTAATATGTGGAATCTAATGAACAAAATAAACTGGTGAACAAAACAGGTCCAGAGGCAATGGACTCATGGAACAGAATAACAGATCTCAGTAGGGACAGGGGTGGAGCCGATAGGAAAAGATTAACCAAAGAACATATATGCTTATTCTTGGAGCTTTAATGGGATTTATAACTGAGCCTACCCTATAGAATGAGAACCACATACAGTTTATTGAATTGGTAACTAAAAAGCCATAGGTGATGGCTTTTTCATATCCATGCTGGACCAGTTGTTGAGCATAACTATGTACCATGCAGTCAGTGGCTTTCTAATATGAAATTCCAGTTCTTCATTAAAGGGTCATTGAAACCCTTTGCCAAATGGCTTCATAACCAGAAATGCTATTTTTAATGGAAACACATTCATTTTATTTCAATTTAATAGGAAAAAAAGGATCTGAAGAAAATCTAAAGGATTGATTTTGAAAAATCTGTATTAGTCAGGGTTCTCCAAAGAAACAGAACCACTAGGGATATACAGTCCTCCCTCGGTATCCTCAAGCAACTGGTTCCAGGATGCTCAAGTTGTGTTTTCTAAGTTCATACGTGTTTGAGATGGTGTATCCTTACACTTGAAAGCTTTCTTGAGTGGGTATAACTTACTTTCCTTAAATCTACAAAGTTGTCTCCCCTCCACCCCCACCCTTTTTGGCAACGGATGTTGCTATGGAAAAATTGAAGGCTATGCCCTTACTCCCAACCCCATTTAGGCAATTTGGTTTTTTCTTGCCTGGATGCTCAAAAAACTCTATCCTTGAAGCTTTCTTCATCCTTGGAGTTTACGCAGCTCGGTGTTAAGCATTCTGTCTCAAAATTTTCTACAACATATTGCTCTAGAAAACTATGTATGTATTTTTGCAAACTGTATTTTTACTTTTTAAGATAAATATTCTTTTGAGATGTAATTCATACACCAAAATATTTATTCTTTTAAAGTGTGAAGTTCAGTGGTTTTTATATTTTTAATTAAATGTATTAGGGTGACATTGGTTAAAGTGGCTTTTAGTATATTCACAAAATTGTACAAGCATCACCACTATCTAATATCAGATATTTTTCATCACCCCCAAAAAGGAACCTGTACCTATTAGCGGTCACTCCCTACCCCCCACTCCCCCCAGACAACCAGCAATCTGCTTTCTGTCTATGCATTTGCTTGTTCTGGCATTTCATATATAGAATCACGCAATATATAGGCTTTTGCATTTGACCTTTTTCACTTAGTATGATGTTTTCAAGGTTCATCCATGCTATAGGATATATTAGCGCTTCATTTTTATAGCTGAATAACATCCCAGTATATATATGTATCACAAATTGTTTATCCATTCATCAGTTGATGGACACTTGGGTTGTTTCCTCTTTTTGGTTGTTATGAATAATGGTGCTATAAACATTCATGTACAAATTTTGTGTGGACATAAGTTTTCATTGCTCTTGGATTTATACCTGGTTTGGAATTGCTGGGTCTTATGGGAACTCTATATTGAACGGCTTAAGGAACTGCCAGACTGTTTTCTAAAGCAGCTGCACTATTTTATACTCCCATCAGTGTGTACGTATTCTGATTTCTTACATTCTCAGGAACACTTGTTATTTCCTATCTTATTTAATATAGCCATCCTAGTGGGTATGAGGTGGCATTCACTTATACCCTGATTGACATTGCCCTGATGGCTATGTGCTTATTGGCCATGTGTATATTTCTTTGGAGAAGTGTCTTCAAATCCTTTGCTCATTTTTAAATGAGGTTATTGGTCTATTTGTTATTTATTTTTATATATTTCTTTTTTTAAAATAATAAACTGAGACACTATTTTTAAAACAGTACTCATAAAATAATGAATTCTTAGTCAATTTAATGGCAATGTCCTTATATATGAAATTAAACTAGTCTCTAAAAACCCCTCTGAGAGTCAGTATATCCTCTGCGAGTAGCTGAATTCATTTTCTGATCAGGACTTTTTCGATGCTTCAGTTTCACCCCATATTGCGGCTCCACTTTGTGAAGTATCACATTTCCTCATCATATCAAACTCGAGCCATGGCTGACTCCACTTCTGAGCTTCTTTCATTTGCTCTTCAGTTAAATAAAGATCAAATCTGATTCCTTTAATATTAAACTTTGGAAACTCCCAGTGTTTGGACCAGGGCTTAGGCTTCATTTTTACTTTCAGCTGATTAATAGGAACTTCTTGGCTGGATTCTTATACTATTGGCTTCATATTAATATCAAAAGTTCTGTATTCAGGAAGGACATCTCGCAAGTGTAGCAAGCTGTCATCAAGTTGTTTCTCTAATTTGATCACTTGGATCTCCTGAATTCTAGGATTATAAAGTTCAAAGCAAATCTCAACACTTTGTCCTTCAGCAGTATTCCTAAGGATAAGAATAGCTCCATGCCCTAGCTGGTTTGGCTCAGTGGTTAGAGCATCCACCCGTGGACTGAAGGGTCCCGGGTTCGATCCCAGCCAAGGGCACATACCTTGATTGCAGGCTCATCCCAGGCCCTGGTCAGGGTGCATGCAGGAGGCAACCAATCCATGTGTCTCACATTGGTGTTTCTCTCTCTCCCTTCCACTCTATCTGAAAAGCAATGAAAATAATATCCTCAAGTGAGGATTAAAAAAAAACAACACCAAACAAACAAAAAGTAGCTCCAGGTAGTTCCTGATCTCTGGATGCAAATCCTTAGGAACTGGCTGGTTTTTTCATTGGCATATGGGTTATAGTAACATGAAGAATGCTTCCAACATAGAACTCTGGAATGTGGAGTACTTTTTTCCTTTCCTAACATTTCTTTCTGTTTGAAATTTCAGAGGACTTGTTTTTCCTCTTGGAGGAATGAATTCAAGACTCAAGAGCCTGGTTTTCTGGCACGAGGGGCGGTGCTTGTCCAGGATGACTGGTTGTGGAGGCAGCTGGAACCTCCTGGGCTGGGAAGGTCCAGGTCTCTGCTGCCCATCTGACTCGCTCGGAGCCCCCACAGCCTGGCCCTGAGCCCCTTCTGCACCCCAGCTCCCAAGCCCCACTCCATTTCTGCTGGTCTAGTTATTATTTAGTTGTAAGAGTTCTTTATATATTCTAGATACTAATCCATACCAGATATATGATTTGCAAATATTTCCTCTCATTCTGTGGGTTGTCTTTTCCCTTTTTTGATAGTATCCTTTGAAGCACAAAAGTTTTTAATTTTGGTGAAGTTTAATTTATCTTTTTTTCTTTTGTTGCTTCCATTTTTGGTGTTATTCTAAGAAATATATTTGCCTACTAAGGTCATGAAGATTTATGCCTATGTTTTCTTCTGAAGCTTATAATTTTTGCTCTTACATTTAGGTCTTTGATCTATTTGAGTTAATTTTTGTATGTGGTGTGAGATAGAGATCCAACTTCTTTCTTTTGCATGTAGGTATCCAGTTGTCTGAGTCCCATTTGTTGAAAAGAGTTTTCTTTATCCCACTGAATTGTCTTGGTACTCTTGTTGTAATCACTTGAACATGTAGAGGTTTATTTCTGGTAGAAAAATATGCTTATATTATATCTTGACTATATCTTCTCATTTGTTGAGTTCTCTACCTCAGGAACCCTAATTATTCTTATGCTAGGTCATCTTGGTCTTCTCTAATAGCTGTCATCTTCTTTTTATTGTACATTCATTCTAGTGTCTTACTTCATATCAGTAATTGAATTTTCAACAGTATCTATTTTGTACATGGTCTAATTAATTCCATAATAATAGGATCCTCGGTTTCTTTCCTTAGATCTCCAACTCCTTTTGCAGTTCTATTATTATGTTATCTTGGTTTCTGCCTTATTTGAATTCGTGTTTTTATTAAGTTGTTCTGTAGCAGAAAGGATTTGTGAGGAATTTTCTTTGGGCCCATGAGCTTTGGTTTCTTCTCAGTCGCATTCTTTGTCTTTACATCTTCCACATGCTGTATTATTTGCCCCCTTCTTTCGTTTCGTTTGGTTTGGCTGTTGCATGCCTGCGCAGTTGCCAGGCTGTTTCTCTGCCTTCTGTCCATGCCTGTTACTGAGGGTGACTCCTTTGCATTTCCCATTACAGCGGGACGCCCATTTGTTTTCCTGACTCTGCTACGGTTTGTGGCTTGAGGAGTTTATATCTCTTCTTCCCTGAGGAACAGTGAAGGTTGGGACAGCCTTCAGTTGTGGAAGAGTGTACTCTCCACTAGCACCTGTCTTATTAGCATCCTCTCATTCTTCTGAGATGGTATTAAACATTCTCTACCAGGGACATGAGATTTTGGGGGTATGACTGTTCTTCCCTTGTGAGGGGTCTTTGGATAGTTTCCTCAACTCAGTGTGGAGCCCTTCCTTCCATCTCGGAGAGTAAGCTCAGTGTTCAAATTCTCTCATTTTCTCTCTAAATGTTCTTCTGATAGGGGCACTTACAATGTCCAAAGATTGAGCACCTGAATTAATCTGAAATATAATTATATTACTTATAAAATTGTAGAACACATATACTTATGCAAGCAGGGGTTTGAGTTTTTCCCCTTTAGGCTTCTTTCTCCTAGGCCTTTGCACCCTACACTCCCCTTGATCCTAGACTGAAGCAATTGAGGTGGCCCAGCAGCTGTGAACAGTGGGTTAAAATATCATCTTATCGGGACATCCCCAGACATCCCCAGGCAGCCAAGATCAAAAGAATGACTCCCAGGACTGTACTAGCTGCCTTCCATTCCCAGCCTCAGTTTGCCCCACAGAACCCGATCCCTCGGGGCCACTCCTGAAGACAGGTTTTGGATGCTCGTGTGCCTTCTTGGTTGGCCGGCCTTCTCAATAAACGCCTTGTATGATTCACCCCTGCCTCTGTTGAATTGGACACAGCGACAGGCAGCCCCGAGCCCCACCGGGGTTTCCCGGGAGCACTTCCATTCCGCCTCCGTCGGAAGGGAAGGAAGGGAAGGGCCTCCATTCAGCTGGCTGAGCCCGGGGGATTCGGGGAGACATCCACGGATTCCACTGACTCCACAGTCCTGCTTCTGGAAGTGGGAGTGGGATAAGGCAGTGTCCCGTATATCTTTCCACCTTGATCCAGAATCTCCTCCAAAGTTTGAATGTAAATATAGAGCCTCCATCAACTGCACGCAAAGAAATTTGCTTTTTTCCATTTCCCACTGCCAAACGCCTAAGGGTGGTTTCCCTGGCACCCTTGACGGGTGCCTCCCTGCAGCCCCGCAGTATGCGATCCTCGATGCTGTGCGTTTCACTCGCCTGCTTCTCTGTGCCGTCACTACCCTAGAAATGGAAGAGTTCAAAACAAAAACCCCAGGCTTTTCGGTAGAAAGCAACTCCCAGTTTGGGTCAAAGGTGAAAATGGGTCACATACTGGGTTAGAAACATAGACGCTGTCACAATTCCTGGCTGTGAATGCGCACAGCTTTACCCCTGGGCCATGTTATGCTAATTGATTCTGTGGAACATCTCTCTCTTTTTTCAGGTTTTTCCTCTTTTCTCATTTCTACTTATAGCCACCCAACTACCCACATTTCACTGTCAAACTGTTTATTAATGTTGGCAATTTTAAAGCTTCTTCATGTTACCTTTGGGCATTTAGCTAAAAGCATTGCCTCCATTTTACAGGTAAATATGTATTAGAACAAATCCAGAGACTTTGTATTGATAATTGGCAACAAACGTGCTGATGCCTCAGTGGCAGTCTTCATAAGAAAATGTTAATTTTTAGGGTAAAAAATCCATTAGAAATTGTCTTTGGGAAATATAGTATTAGTTAATGTTTAGAAATGGTTTTAAAAGAACACAAAAGATTGCTACACACACACACAAAACACACAAAGCAAAACACTTAATGAAAGCATCTCCGTCAAATCTCTCCGTTTTTAAAGTACCTCANCACTTACAATGTCCAAAGATTGAGCACCTGAATTAATCTGAAATATAATTATATTACTTATAAAATTGTAGAACACATATACTTATGCAAGCAGGGGTTTGAGTTTTTCCCCTTTAGGCTTCTTTCTCCTAGGCCTTTGCACCCTACACTCCCCTTGATCCTAGACTGAAGCAATTGAGGTGGCCCAGCAGCTGTGAACAGTGGGTTAAAATATCATCTTATCGGGACATCCCCAGACATCCCCAGGCAGCCAAGATCAAAAGAATGACTCCCAGGACTGTACTAGCTGCCTTCCATTCCCAGCCTCAGTTTGCCCCACAGAACCCGATCCCTCGGGGCCACTCCTGAAGACAGGTTTTGGATGCTCGTGTGCCTTCTTGGTTGGCCGGCCTTCTCAATAAACGCCTTGTATGATTCACCCCTGCCTCTGTTGAATTGGACACAGCGACAGGCAGCCCCGAGCCCCACCGGGGTTTCCCGGGAGCACTTCCATTCCGCCTCCGTCGGAAGGGAAGGAAGGGAAGGGCCTCCATTCAGCTGGCTGAGCCCGGGGGATTCGGGGAGACATCCACGGATTCCACTGACTCCACAGTCCTGCTTCTGGAAGTGGGAGTGGGATAAGGCAGTGTCCCGTATATCTTTCCACCTTGATCCAGAATCTCCTCCAAAGTTTGAATGTAAATATAGAGCCTCCATCAACTGCACGCAAAGAAATTTGCTTTTTTCCATTTCCCACTGCCAAACGCCTAAGGGTGGTTTCCCTGGCACCCTTGACGGGTGCCTCCCTGCAGCCCCGCAGTATGCGATCCTCGATGCTGTGCGTTTCACTCGCCTGCTTCTCTGTGCCGTCACTACCCTAGAAATGGAAGAGTTCAAAACAAAAACCCCAGGCTTTTCGGTAGAAAGCAACTCCCAGTTTGGGTCAAAGGTGAAAATGGGTCACATACTGGGTTAGAAACATAGACGCTGTCACAATTCCTGGCTGTGAATGCGCACAGCTTTACCCCTGGGCCATGTTATGCTAATTGATTCTGTGGAACATCTCTCTCTTTTTTCAGGTTTTTCCTCTTTTCTCATTTCTACTTATAGCCACCCAACTACCCACATTTCACTGTCAAACTGTTTATTAATGTTGGCAATTTTAAAGCTTCTTCATGTTACCTTTGGGCATTTAGCTAAAAGCATTGCCTCCATTTTACAGGTAAATATGTATTAGAACAAATCCAGAGACTTTGTATTGATAATTGGCAACAAACGTGCTGATGCCTCAGTGGCAGTCTTCATAAGAAAATGTTAATTTTTAGGGTAAAAAATCCATTAGAAATTGTCTTTGGGAAATATAGTATTAGTTAATGTTTAGAAATGGTTTTAAAAGAACACAAAAGATTGCTACACACACACACAAAACACACAAAGCAAAACACTTAATGAAAGCATCTCCGTCAAATCTCTCCGTTTTTAAAGTACCTCACTTGGCATCTTTGTTTTCATTTGTTAAATATAAGGCCATCCTTCAATGTTGTCTCCAACTATGCTTGAAACAGTGGCCAGTGGCCAGTGTAGTTAAAGGGAAAAAATGTTGCAGGACCTTGCCAATGAGGGGGAAAAAAAACCTTACAATAAATATTAGGAGAGTGACAAAGAGACTTTACAAAGGATGTTCATATTTCTTGATTTATGTAATTGGGTATTTAATGTACATAGAAATTCAATAACTATCTTTAAAAAGCCCATTTACATGAACATTTCTTCTATTTTAGATTAAAGATGCCTAAGAGGCCAGTCAATCTCCATATTTCTTTCCTTAATGTTTAGAACAGAGCTATGCCTGGAGCAGACATTCAATAAACACTAATTATAATGACTGAGCTACTTTATTAATATAGAATAATTCCAGGGGCTTCCCTCCTGCTTTGTCTGATCCCAAGCCTTTTAATATTTGTTTATATGTCAGAAAATCAGCCTTAGAAACCCTCTGGAGCAAATCATAAGATAATGTGATACAGGTTGTGGATGAAAAGGGGCCACATACTAAACCTGAAAAGCTCAGGGCAGGCCTGCGTGGCAGCCTTGCAAACTCAGAGACCTAAATTAATCACAAAAGATGGTCTGAAATGAAAACTTTTTTATTTTTAAAAAATATATCTTTATTGATTTCAGAGAGAGGAAGGGAGAGGGAGAGAGAAGAGACAGAAACATCTATGATGAGAGTCATTGATTGGCTGCCTCCTGCATGCCCCCAACTGGGGATCAAGCCTGCAGCCAAGGCATGTGCCCTGATGGGGAACTGAACCTCGATCTGGATCCTAAGTTGATGCTCAACTGCTGAGCCATACCCGGCCGGGCTTAAAACTTTTTAAAAAATATATATGTTTTTATTGATTTCAGAGAGAGGAAGGGAGAGGGAGAGAGACAGAAACATCTATGATGAGAGAGTCATTGATCAGCTACCTCCTGCACGCCCCCTACTGGGGTTCATGGGTCAGTGATCAACAAGTTAAGCAGTTTATAGTTGGTAGTCTGGCCCTTTCCTTCACAAAGGTTAATTTTCACTTTAACCAGATAGGTTGTCTTTTGCATCTGAAATAACATACCTGATTAACACAAACCTTTGCAAAACAAAGGAGTTTCCCCATTTTCAGGGCCCTCAAAGCACCAGGGCCGAGACCCTGAATCCTCTCATTGTTATTGTTATCTTAACTATTCACTGTTAACTATCCTGTACTCACCTATGTAAAAGAAATATGTGTCTATCATTTTATTTTTATCCAATCCCAGAGGTTTTCCCACTTTGCTTTCTCCTACCTCCCTAATCTATCACCAATGAATTTCACGTAACCCACCTGTGTCCTCTCCTTTGATTGTAATGTATAAAATAAGGTGCAAAACTGCCATTTTCTGGAGCATTATTTCAATCCGTTGAGATTTTGGCTCCCCAACATATGTTGACAGTTTGGCTCACAAAAAGTTTATCTCAGGATTGAATGTTTCTTAAGTTAACAATGTTTTAAAACTCACCTTTGGGATTATTTCATAATCCCTCCAGTGAGGGAAAAAAGTCACCTTTTAAATCTTAAAAGAGTCAAAGCAGATGTCACTGGTTAAGAGTTCATTGATCAATAATGTTTCACAATTTGTATCAACATCAGGGCAAAGGAGTCGCTTCGATTGCAAATCAAGTTCTCCAGGGTCAAAGTTCTCCAGGGTCAAACGCCACTTTCCTAGGCATAGATATGACTCACATTAGGGCCACTTGTAACCTTCCCTTTGAAACGGGCAGAGGGTGGGCTGCGCGTATTTTAAACTATGAACTCAGGAGTCTCAAGTCATACTATTCTCTTGCCCTAAGCGCATAAGAGATGGTTTCCTTTCCCACAGTCGTTTAACCCAGTCTCTTCCCCGACGAGGCGACCGGTCGGCTCATCTTTCCCAGGGCGGGGGGACCGGGGCACTTCCGATGCAGCACCCTCTTTCCCTA